CTTTTATAATATATTTTATATTTACAGTTTATATTTTCTAACCGTAAATATAAAATATATTGTAAAAGAAAAATAAGAAGAAGCAAATGGAGAAGGGATAAATATCAGATAACTAATATTCTTATAAAATGGAAAATAATTTATCTATATACACACTATGACTATAGATGTGCTGGACCGATTTTTTTTTTCGATTCTTTTTTTAAAAAATTACTTTATTTTAGAAAATACTTTAGAAAATACGTTAGAAAATACTTTATTATTATTTTATATATGCACGTCATATGCATATGCATATACGCATGTCAAAAAGGCTTCCGCAACTAACAGATTACTACTTACACAGTATCACCAATTCACAGAAATTAAATTGTGTTGTCTAAGGATTTTTGTTATAGGATTTTGTTTTCACCAACATTATCCCTTCTTTTTTTATGGAAATTGTGTAATCTTCTACTGATTATGAATATCACGATTTTTTTATAATTCTCTCTGTATTTTAGCTATAATGTATTAGCGAATCTGTAATTCATAGCCGACCGCGAGAGGTCTCCCCGCTGTCTCCGGCCGACCCTTAAGGCTTAAATCATTTATTGTAGACCGAGACTAATGGCAATGAATTTTGAAACACAGAGCACGCCTAAAAGGAGTAAAATCACGGAACGCTGCGCATGCGTTGGAATTTTATTTAAAATTGTATTTTTTTTTTAATATATCGGAAGAAATTGTAACGATAATCTTCAGTTTCAATGCAAGCCGACGAAAGTAATAGGAATTTACTTTGGTATATAATTTTCATTTTTATCGTATATTTTATTATATTATAATGAAAACCGATATAATTTTTTGCATTTTTCCTATTGCTATTGAATCTTATTACATAATTCATAACCTGAAAACGTTATCCAACGGTCTTGGAGAATAGAAATATCGGTATTAAAGCGAGTAATAATTGTACCAAGTAATAAATACTTTCTGTTTGAAGGTTCGGAAACAAGATACTCCAAATGATTTCGTTAAAATGGATAATAATCTATGGTTCATTGGCACCGTTTTTTATCACGCTCACTCTGCTTTATATTTTCGGAGTTGCGAGATATATTACTGATTTTGAGGAGAATACATGTGAAATGACATATATGTTCGAGTTCCCGCAATATGTGGTATGTAGATGCATGGATTGTGTCCGACTGCTATCCTCTGATTTTTCACCCAAGTTTTTATACATGATTGGAGGTGGCCTATCATAAGAGTAGGGATTGTACTTTGATCTGCAAGCTTATCTCGATTCCTTATCTATCTGCTCTAAATTATGCTATGTTTGTTCTTTCCCACTAAATTTATCATTTTTTTTTTTGTTTTTTCCATGAAAGTCATAAGGAAAAGATATATTCTTTTTTCATTTATTAGATATAACAAAATATTTTGAATAATATTTTAAATAGAATATATACATTTTTTAAATTAATTCTCTCCATTAATTCTCTTTATTAATTCTCTTTATTTTAGAGGATATCTTTAAAAAATAATATAGAAGAGAAATACCCACGATTTGGATTATATGCCTATGGAGAAGGCGTTCTAACAGAAAAGTTGAGAAGAATGCATTTTTCTGGTATACCAGTTCTCTTCATACCAGGCAATGCTGGATCTCACGAGCAAGGTTCATATGAGTTTATAAATACATTCTAGAAATTCAATTTTTACTATTATGAAATAGATATTTAAATTTACATATTTGCATTTCTTCTTTTCAGTACGATCTATTGCTTCAGTAAGTTTAAGAAAAAGCCGAAAGACTTCCTTTCATTTTGATTTTTTTACTGTTTCATTCAGCAAAGATTATTCTGCATTATATGGAGGTATAAATGAAAGAATAATATACAAAGCATCTATCATATAAAAATAATTATATATTTAATATGAATTGCTTGTACTTCCTTCAGGTGTGCTTATGGAACAAACTATGTATGTCTCACATTGCATAAAAGCTATATTAGCTTTATACAAGGGTAAGATGGACAGCGTTGTGCTAATTGGTCATTCTATGGTAAGACCTAAATATATATTACAAAATTTAATTGAAATTAATCGGCATCTTTTTCAGGGTGGTATTATTGCGAAAGGAGCTCTTTTGCTGGCGCCAAATATGAATGCTTCATTTGCAAGTATGATAATAAACTTGGCCACTCCTCATACTCCCTCGTTGGTTCTCGATGGTGTATTTGCCAATTATTATTATGAACTAGAAAGACATTTGTACAAGATTAAGGCTGCAGGAGTAAAAGTAGTATCGATAGGAGGTGGATCACGTGATATACTTGTACCTGCTAGGCAAACTTATGATCGTATTGCGGACATAAATGTTCTTTCTACGAGTGTGCCAGCCGTTTGGAGATCTACGGATCATTTAAGTATTTTATGGTGCAAGCAATTAGTATTCGCAATCGTGCGCTCGCTATTTGATTCTGTAGATTATTTGCAAAAACCACCTAAAATTACATCAAATTCTGATTTGAAAATGCAGGCTCTATCCTATCACTTTTTACAAGTAAGTAATTATTGTTTACTAACACGATTTCAGTACAAAAAGTTTCATAAACATGTTTCTCAGGAATCCATTAGACTAATATTTATCTTCGATCTATTTAATCTTTCATATATATATATTTTCTTCACATGATATATACCTTCACTTGATAGATATTGTCATAGAAGTTTAATCGTGATATGCGTAATTGCTTACTCATACATTCGAGGAGAAAAATGCCTAGCAATTTTAGATTCTGAAGTTAACGAATTCTATTAATGAAATAAAATAAAATTGCAATTTTAGCATACTTCAGGGAAAAAATTATATGATTATGCAGAAAAAATTCAGTTTGAGGCCAATAGCGAATGGGTGAGCATACCTCAACGGTATGTTTGGGATAGTAAGAATGTAGTTGAGAAGTCATCCATCATATATCTTGCAGTGGAACTGTTTCACAAATCTGACTTCTTAACTATTGATACAATAAATTTACG